CTGGGATTTATTTTGTTAAATCTCTATGAAAAACATATCCCTAGCATTTCTAGCCATGGCCATCTCGATAATGGCAGATGATTAATGTAGCATTGAAATCCATCTGGAATCCTTCTGCCCTTAGACTCTGCATGCAGGCAGGAGGACCTATGACTCCTGGGCTGTAACTGAAGAAAGCAAGTAAATATGATATCCTGTACCTTCCTATCTTTTCACGTATGCTAGCAGCATAAGTAATAAAAAGTTAATGTTGATTAACGTTTCACTTTAAATCTAGGGGTAGAATGAGAGTCTGTATATTTCACCTGACTCCATGTTCCAGCACTCTTCTCATCTCCCTAAAGCTCTGAGCTGTGGGCAGTCTTTTGCCATCATCATGTATAATGTAGGGCTATTAGCCCAGTCACATAGATGGAGGGAGCCTGCCAGAATCAGGAATAGGGTGTGTATTACCCGGCACCCCTAGACTAAAAAAAAAACCAAAACGTTTGTGTTATTCCTTTGTTCAGCTTCAAATTTGCATCTTTCTTTCAATAATACTTGATCTCGTCATTGAAATCCTAGTTCTGGTAATTTCTGTTGAGGGGAGACAGCTACTGTAGTGGATGCTTGTCGACAGGAAGTTGCTGCAAGGAGGTTGGAGGGGATCGGCAATGGGGGGGGGGGACGGGGACGAGACTGTATTTTTCATTTTGAATGGAATGCAATTGGTGTGGCTCCCATGCTATCTTTAAAGGATACGTTTACCTTTGGGGACATGTTACCTATTACACCCATTTTTTGGGTGGACCATAAGTTACTTTTCCCGGAGCTGCTGCCCTCTCTGCTGCTTAAAGTGACAGACCAGCAACATCATTCATTCACAGAATTTTGTGAATGTAAAACTTCAGGTTCCCGCAGCCGCAGTGATCTACCGCAGTACTGCTGAGTGCTGTGGTGGTTTATGCTCTCTTCCTGTATGTGTATCTGCTTGCCCTTATTAGGGCACACATACATACACTGAGAGGTCTGTGGGAGTCCTGCATGGCACCCATGGGCGCAGTGCTATCTAGGCTCTTGGTAAAAATGATAAATGCACTTTTCTTTTAACATGGAACATGTGCATTTATTTATTATAAAGGTAGAATTATCCTTTAAAATGTTTTGTGGACTAGCCAAACTATCCAAAAATATCTCAAATTGTATGTCAAACCAGAAAACCTTTTTGGTTTGGATACAGTAGGTGAGGATTTAAATTCATGCCAGTTCTAACTGCTATTCAGGGCTCTGTTAGAGGGATTTACCATCACTTCCTGATGAAGATAAAATCTGTAGAAGGTACACAAAAATGTGACAAAAGAGGAAGTGCTGAAATGCTCAGGGCATGTGAATAGTAGTGGTACATGTTTACATGTAGCTGCATACAAAGCATATAGCTGTGGTTTTGGATGGATGTCCAAGCTTGGCCAGACTTTTGCAGTCAAATTAGAGAACTAAAAAACAAAAGTGAGAGAGCAAGCCACTGTCTTAAGTGTAGCAATGGTGGGAGACTCAAACAAATTTTAATAGGTATTGTACATTCAGATGGACACAGCAGATAAGTAGATGAACCGTGATACCAGCAGATGGCAGCTTGAGAATTCTCCAATGTATATGGAACAATAAAAAAAGAGACTTGCCACACTTAGTTTAGTGTTAGTGAAAAAAAATGCTGAAAGAATTATTTAGGAAATGCAGTCATGTGAGAATTTCTGAATACAGGATTTTACAAATATCCAGCAGGTGGCATCCTTCTAATGATACCCAGTTGAGGATAGGCAAGGTGGTTAGTCTTGTCAAAAGTACAAGTATATGGTGACAAAAGAAAAGAAAGCCAAGAGGAGAGTAGGCAGCTCTGTGTAGTTTATTGAAATAAGTAATATAAAAATGCACTCATATATATAGTAGGTAAAGGAGCAAGCATTATACCAAACATCCAACAGGTGGTATCACATAATGGGTTTCAATGGCTGATAGGCATGAGTGGGCAGAGCTACATGTTTCGGGCCATAGTCCTGTTTGTCAGGCACCAGACTGCTGACTCTGCCTTAGTGTAATCATCTATTGGACTCTACTGTACATGAACGTCATGTTTGAGATTTACATTCTGCCTGAATTTCCCTTATTGCTTCCTGAGTATCAATATTAACTATTTATTTACTTCAGAAGGACAGGACACTACTTGCTCTTCTTTGCGCTTGGTTTCACGTATATTCCCAATTGGAGATATAGTTGATATTGTTAGTCAAATTTGAGAACCCCCTCTATTTGTTTCATTTCACACAGCATACCCCAAGCCTAGGTTCACACTACAGCGGTGCGGTAAATCCCATGTGATTCGCACAGGAACCGCATCGCATTCCTGTACAAATCACATGCGATTTTGTGTGTGGTGCGATCAGAGCCGTACACTTTGTATGGCTCTTTTCGCAGCGCACCCGCACCCAAAACACGCAGGACCCTTTTTTGGTCTGCACTAGAATCGGATCGCATGGGTATTCACACCTGTGCCTTCTGATTCTGCACATCGCAATGTGTTTTGCGGACCCTTGTCGGGGTGTTAACTTACACACCCGCATCTGTTTGTATGAAAGGGGTGTGATTGTGATGCGGTGTGGTATTCGCACTGAAAACGCTGCGAATTCCGCACGGCATCAGTGTGAACCCGGGCTAAATAAAATTCTTAGGAGAAAGCATCATGACTGATTGTAAGCATTTTTGCATAAGTTCAATATGAGACTCCCAATAGAAAGGCTTAGGTAAGCTATAGATAATGTGATTGGTTACAGGAAAGAGTCAATCTATTCCCTCCTGCTGAAATCATTCCCACAGTGCTATTTTGTACTGCTGACAGCCTTCCCAGTCGGCAGAACACAATAATTGCTGGGGGCTATAGTCAGCAGTAATTGCATGAAAAATATCCAACAGGCTGGTTGTACTGAATTCGATAGATGGATGTCCGTACAACAAGCCTGCCAATAGATGGATCAAATCTTGGATGGTACCTGTTGAACCAGCCGAGATTTGATACATCTATGGCTGTCTATAGAACAGTTTGAGTCTCCTCTCATTAACATACAATGCAAGATGTCCATCTTCTAAAACCTTAACAGAACAAAGTAGGATTTTTCAGAGCTATAGTTATCAAAAAAGCACTTTTAAAATGGCTAGCCTCATTTGTAATTGTATTTTAAGTGCTGTGTGAACAGGGATATGTAACAAATATAGTAGTGTTCTCCTGGTTTGGCTGAAAAAGTGGAAATACACTTTGAGATTTGCTTCTGGGAGTTGCAGAGATGTCTTTGGTAAACAAAACCACTGAATATCCTTAGTTTTGCTACAAAGTTAATACACCCAGGGGAGTTGCTGGTTCAACATGAGACCACCATATAAAATTCTGACTTGAACTCTGTCCTTGTATAAATACAGGAAAAACATTTTTAATCAAAAATACCAAAGAATATCTTCTCTTAGAGGAGCCCAACAATACTCACTTGTGCAATATAAAATTCAAACATTTTATTAGAAAGCATTAAAACTGTTGTGGCCAAAACATAAAACAAATGCAACAACAAAAAAATATATAATACACTGCCCCTATTTTCTCCATTAATTATGCGTTTTCCTCAGAGGGACATTTAATGATTTAGGATATTTAATCTGTTCTCTGTCCTGGTACCCATGAAGTTGGACATTACTATTATGGTAAAGGATAACTCATTTTAAATTTTTTTATTTGTTCTGTAGATGCATGGGCATTTTTACTGTAAATGGTCAATTAATATAGAAAATAGGGGTCATGGATCAGTATTTGTATATATTGTTTTGTTGTATTTACATTGTTTTGGCCTTAACAGTTGTAATGCTTTCTAATAGAATGTTTGAATTTTGTAGTGCACAAGTGAACATTGTTGGGCTGCTCTAAAAGAGAAAATTTTATTTGCTAATTTTTGATTAACACACAAGGCTCTGTACAGAGGGAATGATCTGTTTGCAGGGAGAAGGAACAGATATTTAGTAAATAGCAGCACATTTTACACAAATTACACTTAACAAAAAACGTTATTTGTGTGAAAAAATTATATACATTTATTTTGGGTACAGTAGTGCATGTCTGCTCAATTACCAGTTAAAGTAGCGCAGTGCTAAATAAATAAAAAAAATGACCTGGTCATGAAGGTATACAAGTTTTTATTATACAATGGTCTCATTAGAGAGATGTCTTTTGTTGCATGTAGTTAGCAAAGTTGTGTGGGTGATGTATTAATACTTTGTCAAATTATAGGGTTTCGCGGGAGGCCACAGGAAAGGCTTTCACCATTTTTTGTGTGTGCAAGTTAGGAAAAATACAAGATGTTAGTTCATTTACTGTTTGTTATTTTTACCAACCTGTTAATGCAAGCAAGAACAAAGCAATATGTAAGGAAATTAAAAGTGACTGTCCTTAAAAAATAAATTAAAAAAAAAAAAAAAAAAAAAAAATATATATATATATATATATATATATATATATATATATATATATATATATATATATAGCTGCTAACAGGTAGAAAGTCCTGGCACCTACTGGTACCTGCCAATACGTTCAGCTGCTCGTACTGTACACTGCTATTGCTCGATACAAGGCCTTTCTGATGGGTAAACTCTGACACTCCTGGGTAGTATCTAAGCTGGTCTGCTTCTCCACAGAACACCTACCCCAAATTTACTATGATGGGTGTTTTCAACATTCAGAATCGGCAGTATTTAACCCAGCAGCTCTCTTTAAATGACAATCATTTTGTGGAAACATTTGCATCCATTGATCACAGAAAAAATACTTAAACATTCAGTACCACATTGGCTACAATGGCTCCTGAGATTTCTCTAGCTTGCTTTGCTGCCATATTTTGTTGAAATATAAATATAAAAATATATATTCTGAATTAGTCTTTTTTTTTCTTTCTTCAAATGCAGGTTGCTACCATTTGCTTTGTACTATGCTGAAGATGTCCCATGGCCACACGACCCAGGAAACCCTGGAAATCATGAAGGAGTCAGAAAAACGCCTGGTTGAAGAGTCTGTGAACAGAAGCAAGGCCCTATCAAGATCACCAAGTAAAGACGAACCAGAATCCGATGAGCCGAATTCACGTCAAGAACCACAGGTTGATGTCTTCTCAGTGGACCTTTTTTTATCCCCTCCGCCCCCCTTACACACACATGATTTGTTTCACAACTTCTTTTTGTAGCTACTCAGGTGTTTAAGATCTCCTAATAGTTGATTGTTGTGTTCCAGTGCTGTCGTACTATGTGTCATGTCTGCTAGGCTTTACAACTTTTAGCTGTTTGCCTCATGCTGCAGAGTCTTAATGTTCTAATCTTATGAACGTTTTACTGGAACTCATAACAATTTTGTGTGTGATATCACGCATCAGAGAGGCCTTATAATTGCTACTTTGATTCCATTCTGGCCTTATAATTACTTGACGCAACTACAGGTATTTTAACTGTGCTTATGTATTTTTTTTTATCTTAGTGGTTTCAGTGCCAGGTACAACTGGGGTTTTATACTACTTCATGCTTTGTGTTTTTATGATTTAAATAATTGTAAAGATTTCACCTTTTTTTTACAGTGTACTGCAGAATGTCTCAGTCACAGTGAGTATATCTCTGCACCTTGACAATAAGGACATGCAGAAAAAAGGAAATGGTCATTTAAAGCCATTCCATCTATAGCTGACTGGAAGGCTGCCTTTACTGTCTTCAGTGCCCGCAATTCTTGGCACAAGTCATGATAAGCAATTTGTGAATGTTGAGTTCCTAAATACTCAGCTTGGTTTTTATGGTTTATTAAATTTACTACACCATAGGGGTCTCCCATATTCCTCTTTATTTCTTGCTTGTCCTAATGTTCCTATTAGAATGCTTTCAGACCCAGCTGCTTAGGGGATGGCATTTTATTTCCCCAACACACTGTACTGGCAGTGTGTGTGATTTTTGTTTTTTTAAACCCCAGGTTAGACTGATATTTCTGGTTTTGTTTTATAAAGTAGTTATCAATATATACAGAGAGCGCACTCTCTAGTTTTATGCAACTTCCACAGCATTTTGACAATGAGTCTTCATGCACACTTGAACGTTGTTGATGCAGTTCTTAGGGGCATCTTTTTTTTTTTTTTTTTTTTAATCTGCCTCTAAAGGCCCCTGCATATTAGCGTGTGTCTATGCACACAAGCGTTTAAAGGAAGAAAAAAAAACCTTGCTGTTTGTGCGTTCAGAAAAAAGAAACCCCCTTGACTCCTGTAAACACGCTAAGCGCTAGGTGTATTTAGTGCTTGAGAGTTAATTTCAATAGCTTGATGTGCTTAAACACATTACATGCGTTTACAGGCATCCGTTGCTTTTTTCATCCAAAACACCACTGCCAGAAGGAAAGGCAGCTAGGAGAGATATGAAAAGACGTCCAGTGTGCATGAGGCGTAATGAGGAGGAGGCACATTTCTTTTTTTAACAATAATAGTTATTGTTATTTTGTTTAGGCAATACAGCTTTGTGAGCAAAGTATTTCATATGAGAGGAGGCCAGTTTATTCACCTCTTGAGTCATTGTTTCCTGGGGCCATTGCCTATTAGAGCAAGTAGACATGGCATATGTGTGTTTCCCATCATTCTACATTGCATTTGCGCATACTATCATGTATGTGGGACATTGTTTTCTGCCCTGATGGATAAGATCTACTGTTGATGGATAGGAAGGGGTTACTAGTTGTTGTCTCATTGAAAAGATTATATATATATATTTTTTTTTTTTTAGAAAAGAGAGACAGCAGCCCCACTCTGAGTGTAGACAGTTAAAATCAGGCAGATTTAATGGTAAAATTGCACTCACATAGGTAACAGGTAGGCATGTCAAGAGATGGAGGTCCTTTGGCCGTGCTCTGGGTGTTTTCCCGCTGTTCTGGTGGTGTCCAGGGCTCGGGAAGTGGCAGAGGGGCGCAGGGAGGCTTGCAGGGATGTCGTCACCGCATGGACCGGGTTTCCAAGATGGCGCACATTCGGAGCATGCTCACTCCTTCGTCAGGCCAACGAAGAAATGAGCATGCTCCAAACACATGCCATCTTGGAAACCCGGACCTCCCACTGGACCTCCATCTCTTGACATGCCTACTTGTTACCTATCTATGTGAGTGCAATTTTACCATTAAATCTGCCTGATTTTAACTGTCTACACTTAGAGTGGCGCTGCTGTCTCTCTTCTCTACCTGCATTAGGAGTGCATTACAAGCTCTTACAGCTGGCTGCCTTCTCGGACAAGTCCATACTACTACAAGCCCCTGCTACAGATGGCCTTAGACACCACCTCCACATGGACCTGCTAACCTCCATTGCTGATGGTCCATCCCCAAACGCACACAGGGTAGATGTGTCTTTAGCGCTCCCTCCCCCCACTCACCTCTGAATGTACTTTTTTTTTTTTTTTTTTAACCTGCCCTTTTGTGTCTTTGATGCAAATATTCCTCTCTATATGTATTACAGAATTAGCAGTAAGTGATTTTCAATGTAGAACAGTGCCATACATCAGTGTTTGAGAATGCACCTTTATTAATCAGCCATAACATTAAGACCACCCACCTAATATTGAAGTAGGTCCCCCTTTACCACCAAAACAGCCCTGACATGTCAAGGCTTGGACCCCACTATGCCTCTGAAGGTATGCTGTGGTATCTGTCACCAAGCTGTTAGTAGCAAATCCTTTAAGTCATGTAAGTTGCAAGGTGGGACCTTCATGGATTGGACTTCCTATAGTGCATCCTGGTGCCATCTCTTTCCCAGGTAAATATCGCACACACACCCGGTCATGTACATGTTATAAAAGAAAACATGGTTCATCAGGCCAGGTCACCTTCTTCCATTACTCCGTGGTCCAGTTCTGTTGCACACATGCCCATTGTAGGTGCTTTTGACTGTGGGTACAGGTCAGCATGAGCAACCTGACATTTCTGCTGTTAAGCAGCCTCATGCACAACAAACTGCAAAGCACTGTACATTCAGACATATGTATTTTGAGACGAACATTAACTTTTTCAGTAATTTGAGATATAGTAGCTTTTCTATTGGATCGGACTACATGGGTCAGCCTTCGCTTCCCACATACGTCAGTGAGCTTTGGCCACCCATGTTTCATTTCCGGTTCTCCTTCTTTGGACCACATTTGGTTGCTCCTGACCACTATAGACCAGGAACAATCCCACAAGAGTTGCTTGTTTAGAGTTCCTCTGACTTATAGCCATTACAATTTAGCCCTGGTCAAAGTAGCCTGAATGTTTACGCTTGACAATTTTTCAACTTTCAACAAATCAACTTTGGGGACAACTTACTTTTAAAGGGTGATACATGTTCACTTGCTGTCTAATATATTTCATCCACTTTCAGGTGCCGTTGTAACGGGGTAAGCCGTTGTTACTCAATTTGTCAGTGGTCATTGTTATGGCTGATTGGTAAATATGTCATTAGCCATTACATCATATTTGTTAGCGGACTATTGAATCTTGTTGGGCACCTGGCTTGCATGCCGGGGAACTGTAATTTTAACTTAATATACATTGGGCAATATAAGATTTGGGTCTCATTCACACCATATGTGCATGCAAGATGATGGAAAAGCACGCAATTTGATTTGCATTGAATATTTAAGTAGGGAAATTATTTGTGTAAAAGGAGCAAATTCGAATGTATTAATATATTGTTTTAGTGCCTCAGGAACCACAACCAATTAACACCCCGGTCACATTGGGATTGAGTTGGCATGCAATTTGCATGCCCTGCGACTTGCAAATCATATGCCAAGACGCACCCTATTGTCCGCTATTTAAAGCGGTCATGTTGGTGCGGTTCTGACTTTGTCAGAGCCGCACCGTTTTTCTAAAGTAGTGCATGCACTACTTTTGTTCCGATTTGCATAGACATCTGTGTCAGATGTCTTGCAAATCATAACTGAAATCGGCAGTTCACCTGATTTTGAAATCGTGCAACTTCACTGTAAGTTGCACAAATTCATAATCGGCTTTGATGTGACCGGGGGCTTAAAGTAGTTTTGATGTACTACTAGCTACAACGGATGAAGCTCTAAAACCAGGGCCTATTTTGGAATTATGTAATTTTGCTAGGTATTCAGCCCATTATTCTTTCCATTCACATCAGTATTGCCTGATAAATATGATAGGCAGCCTCGATCATGAAAATGGTAAGGAAGTACAGATTTTTTTTTTTCTGAAGTTAAAGTGGAACTGAACACCACAAACCAAAAATGCCATTTAATTCATTGTTAATATTCAAAGCAAACTCACCCATCCATGCTTTATTTTGCTGAGAAATCATTTGACAAACACCCCCTGGCATTCCTCGCAGTGGCCATCTTGAATAGGGCTGGTGATTCATGTAGCATTTACTTCCTGCAATCCATCTGCCCTTAGCTCTGGCATTGGCTGAGCTGAGAACCCTCTCTTGCTTGGGCAGGAAACTGGTGGAAAGTAACTGAAGAAAAGTAAAAAAAAAAAAAAGTAAATATGATATACTTTCCTATCTATTTACTAATGCCGACAGCATAAGGATTAAAAATAGTCAATGTTGATTGAGAGAGTGAAGTTCCACTTTAAGAGAAGTGTGGAATTACAAAAAAACAAACCTACAGCTGTATTAATATATAGGTGTCTCTCTTATTTTTTGTGTTGTGGGTATTTTTTTAATGCTACATGTACTAAATAATAACTTGATACAGGTAGAAATTGATTGACCTGATGATTTCTGTAGTAAGCTGACAGCTCTGAAATCCCAAGCAGTGTTTTCAGCCTTACACGGCTCTCCCTTTCTTGACTGTAATAAAAAAAATTACTTTATTAGAGCAATAATAGTTCATAATATGTGATCACTGAAAATATACTTTACAGTTCTTATAGGTTAATTTACAGTAAAACTATAGGCATTTTATTCTATTGTGGATATAGTATGGGAGGGTTTTAAACCCTGCCAGTTTTTTTTGGTCCTCTGTGTCCCATTGGGAAGATTTCCCTTCACTTCCTGTTCCATAGCCAAACAAGAAGTGAGAGGAAATCCCTGCAAATTAAGGGAATCCCTTGGCCCCCCTAGGTTACCAGAACTAGCGTCCC